GGGGGGGGGGGGGGGGGGGGTTGTACCGATACGCATGTACCTAGAAGTTTCAAATAAATTTCATAAAATAGAATAGGTGAAAAAACCTCTTCGGAAGGGGGCGATTTTGCGAGAAAGTTATTGGCAATGTCTACACACGCGGTATACGGTAATTGCTATACATCCAAGGTAACGTTCTACCATGCATCTAAGACTTTTTTTCTCCATGGATCTTTGAAAAATGTCATTGACGGGAAGTTTTGCCATGCGTCTATGGTTTTTACCATGCATCTATGGTGCTTTACCGATGAGGCTGCAACTGGCGAAGGATTCTGGCGAATGATATGCACAACTTTTGGAGTGGATTGTTCTGTTGATGCTCCAAGGGGGGCGCGGGCGGGGGTCCACTTTTTTTATCCTTAATTTTCTAATCTGGGAGATGGGGGTTGCCGATCCTATCTGAGCAACCTCCATTCCTCCTTACGCATGCCCTATTGAAATAAAAAATAGAATTATTAAATTTTTAAAAAAATCTCGAAAACTGATATTTCAGAAGGGGCTGGAGGGGGGACGAATGTATGCGGAGAGTTGAAATTTTCACCCAAGGGCAGATGGGTTGCAGAATCTATTCTAGTCACCCCCATCTCTCCGTTTGCATGCGTTGTGTAAATAAAAAATGAAATTGTTAAATGAACAAAAAATTCGCGAAAATCGTGACTTCCCAAGGGGGTGTATAGGGCATGTATGCGGAGAGTTGAAAATTTTACCCAACAAGAGGAGGGGATTGTATAAATGCCTCCCCCCTCCAACCCCTCGTAAAATCCCAATTTTGGGAATTTTTGTTAAAAAAATCAACTATTTTATTTTTCGTTTAATAAACGCATGCAAACGGAGAAATGAGGGTGGCTAAAATGGATTCTGCAACCCTCTCCCCTTGTTAGGTAAAAAATTCAACCCTCCGCATACATGCCTCCCGTCTTCGCCCCCTCGGGTCGTCGCCATTGTCGAGAATTTTTTTGTTTATTTGACAATTGCATTGTTTATTTATACAACGTATGCAAACGGAGGGATGATGAGGACTAGAATAGATTCTGCAACACCCTCCCCTTGTATTGGGTAAAATTTCAACCCTCCGCATACATACCCCCCCAACCCCGCACCTCGTTTGAATGTCTCCCCTCCAACCCCTCCTAAAATGTCGATTTTCGAGATTTAAAAAAATAATAATAATTGCATTTTTCATTTAAATAACGCAGGCATAAGGAGGGATGAGGGTGGCTAAACTATATTCTGCACCCCTCTCCCCTTGTTGGGTAAAAATTTCAACCCTTCGCATATATGACTCCCCCCTCCATCCCCTCATGAAATCCCAATTGAGGTTTCAACAGGATTTAATAGGTCTAGACAGCATAGAGAAGAACTTCTCAGGGCCGAAAAGAAGTAAGCATTCGAAAGGTCTCCAACTACGTCGCAGGACTGACTAGGACTTACCAGATCAATCTAGGTCTGGAGAGATCTTGAAAGACCTGTGTAGGTCCAATCAGAACCAAATCCTTGACTCGGGTTAGCCGATTGCCATCCATCAATCCATTCGAGAGGAGTATTTTGAAGGAAAAAAAATTTCAATCGGTGCAAGAGTTTTTGAATTATTGTGGAAAAACCAAATTTGAACAAGTTGTTATATCTCAGGAACTACTTGAGCGATCGAACTATCAACAGTGCTCTAAAGTTGAGCTCAATCACAGTTATGGGCTATAGCCCGGGCTATGAAGTATCACTCACCTCACCGCTTTCTTCGTTACCCAGGACCAACGACGTGGACGTGGCGGTGTCTGGTCCCAAGGATAACACATGTTTGTAACATAAAAAGACGTGAGACAATACAGAGATGAGATAATTTAAGAGTTCCAACTGATAACCCCGACAATAGCGACCCAATACATCTCCGCCGCCCTCCATCCGGCTAAATTCATTGAAATATGAAAATTGGTTCTACTATCAGGCGTATCAATCGGAATCCGAGAGTGTGTGAGGGGCAGGGGGAGGGGGGGTGACGTTGGGTGAATAATGTCACACCCGTTCTGCGAACGGTTCAAACCTATCAGTCTATTGAGCGTCTATTGAACGTTTAAAGAAGTACTCACTATATGGGTGATTTTCTACAAATTGTGATTTTTCACATCGCACATTTTGCAAAATCTAAACATGTCTGCAGAGTAATTTTTTTACGTTTCTATATGTTATAATGGTCCAGAAGTATATTCCTAGCACCACTCTACTACAAGTGCATAAGATTCAGAATAATAGAGTGTTACCTATTGTTTACTGCTACGGTGGTGACCAAACTTAACAAGTCTTCGTATTTCAATTAAGGAATTTAATTTTTAGATAATAAAACAAGTTAATTGATTTATTTGACATCGTTCGAGTATCATATATTCAAATGCAGAGATCACTTTGTTTTTTTTTTTCAACAATCAATTCTGACACAGTACTGGTGTATTCAGCGGTTGTTAATGACCCACCTGGGCGTTACTCCGAGTTTGCACCATTTAAACACCTAAAACATCTTTCTAAATACCTTACTGATGATACAACTTGACTCCCATACATTTATGTATGATATGACATAGTTGTGACATTCTGTGTTAAAACCTAATCACCCTTCGCACCAGCTTTGAATTAAAAGCTCTCTGAAGATGATGAGTTTCAGGCAATGGAATGTTACTTTTTTTAAGCAAAAAATTAGCTAAGAAATTACACGACTTGTAACAATCATGAGACCACGGTAGTGACAAAATAATTTGTGACTTATCTTCTTCACCTCTCGAGTAGTGTTTCCTCGATGTACACATGTGTCTAGTTAATTTTTACTGGTGTAAATACTGGGCCTTACCCTTTCATTACAGATTTTCGGTGCGCACGCATCGTATGCAAATGTCGAAAATGGCGCGGGAAATCCCCTATTATCTATATTCAGGAAATTTTCTTTGAGCTACTTATTTACTTGGTTTCATTGACAAAATCTCACATTTCATATAAAGGACATGCCATGGTAATGACATTAAGACTGGTTTCAGCTCTCTAGAGCTAAATAAACGGTCAGGGAATGGCATCTATTTTATGGAAACGGTGGAATGCCATAGTGTCTCCCGATATCCGGAGAAATTTGATTATTATTTCATCATTTTGAGATTGGAAAAATTGAAGGACAAGAAAATAACAATTTGTAGATAATCACCTATATATCTATGGAAGTGGCTCCGCTATTGAATTAAATTGCGAGAATACTGCGTTCGATTTTGAACTTTCTGGAGTCGTAAATTCCAGAAATCTGACCTACACAGAACAGTATTTGCAATTTTTGCTACACGCCGAAATAATCTTTGTGTAGCTGTTTTTAATGAAAGGGGAGAATTCGATGAGAGGAATGTTAAGGGTGAGGAGACTTGGATAATTGGAGACTTGGAATGATTACTCACGTTTTAACAAAGTCGATATTTATTTTTAACAATATTTGGTAGAGAGGTATAATGCACGAGGGTACCTCCGATGAGGTGTTTCTTCCTAGGGATGAAGTTCGTAACCGATTACCAAATATTAAAATTTGGACAAGTTGGATTTTCAAAGTAGAAGGGATGGAAAAGTGGAGGAGGAAAATGGTTTTTCTAAACTTTCAAATGATTGGTCAAAATGACCTGTGATGGGAGGGACAATATTCTGATTGGAGAGGTATCATGGAAAATTCGGAAGTGCAGGAAGTAGGGAGAGAGGGAGAAATTGGCGCGCCTTGGGCCTATTCCCCAATAAAGGGCGTCTGGGCGAAAATATTGAGGGACCGTTGAGGGTCGAGCGCAATAAACGGAAAGAAACTATAAAGTAATTTGGAAATACAAATTTTTGAGTTGAATGAAGGGATTAGGACAAATTTTGGCAGTGATTAAATTTCTGAGAAATGTCCTTTACAAACTTGAGGAAATATGAGGATTATTTCAATAAAATAATTCTGAAGGGTCTAAAAGAGATATTTGAGAAATATTTTCGGGTGATTTTATGAGTTTACAATTTTTCTAGAGGACAAAGCTGAGTCTAATTAAAATTCTAAGAATTATTTGGGAAAAATACTAAAATAAAAATGGGAAATTTTCAAGGATTGAATTAAATATTTAAAAATAGAAAGATTGTTAATTTCGCGTACTTGATACGCAACATACTCCCCCGTTGAGAGTTGAGCGATCAATTATTCCTTGGAGTTGCTGGAGTCCACGGGCAGTGGTGCCAAGCGTCGAACGTTTCGATCTACTTCTCCAGTAGATGTCCGCAGGCTAGCCTTCCTGGTGATGCCATCGTCTGATGGGTAGATTTCAATGACACGGCCCATGCGCCATTTTAGAGGGGGTAAATTGTCGTCGCGCAAGAGCACCAATGTTCCAACGCCAATGTCATGGTGTCCTGAAGTCCACTTATGACGGATGTTGAGTTCGGAGAGGTACTCCTTATGCCACCGATTCCAGAAATGTTGCTTAATCTTCTCAAGGTGTTGCCAGTAAGAGAGACGATTGCTAGGGACCTCTGTCCAATCAGGTGCAGGGAGATCAGTGGTAATGTCTCCATGCAGGAAGTGAGCAGGCGTGAGAGCGTTGAAATCGTTTGGATCGGATGATAATGGAGTCAATAGTCTTGAATTGAGGATTCCCTCAATTTTGATGCAGAAAGTATTGAACTGTTGATATGTTAACAATTCATTTCCAATAACTCTTTTCATATGTTGCATAAGACTTCACGGCAGCTTCCCAGATGCCACCGCAATGAGGAGATACAGGGGGGATAAAATTCCATTCGATGCCTTGTTCATTCAGCTTTCGATTGATGAATTCACCGTGCTTTTCGTCGTTGAGAAGTGTATAGAGTTCCTTCAACTCTTTGTTTGCACCGATGAATGTTGTTGCATTATCTGAGTGGAGAGCCTTGCAGGAGGGATGTCGAGAGATGAATCGGCTGAGTGTAGGCAAAAATTCTTCACTGGTCAAGTCATTGACGAGTTCGATGTGTACTGCCTTTGATGTGAAGCACACGAATATGCTGATCCAAATTTTTATTTTCTTGAGATTACGGTATCTTCGTTCTTTGATGAGGAAGGGACCACAATAGTCCACACCAGTGTGAGTGAAGGGGTTTGCCTGTGTGATGCGTGCGCTCGGGAGATCTGCCATGGGATAGTTGACTGAAGGTGGATCTACCTTGGCACAGTTGATGCACTTGTGAATGATGAATCGTACTTGACTGCGCCCATCAATGGGCCAGTATCGCTGCCTGAGTAGATGAAGAGTTGTCTGGATGCCTGGGTAAAGATTGGCCAAGTGAGCTTTCTTGATGAGGAGGTGAGTGATGTAATGCCCCTTTGATAGCAATATGGGATGTTTGCCATCTAGGGCAAAATTACGAGCCTTTCTTAGCTGACCACCAACTCGAATGAGTCCATTGTCATCGAGTTTCAAACTGAGGTTTTTTAAACGATTTTTTGAAGAAAGAGGTTTTCCTTGCCGAAGTAGTGAGAGTTCTGTGGAGAAGGCTTCTTCTTGAACTAGTTGGAGAAGTTTAGTTTCGGCTGCTTCAAGTTCTGGGAGAGTGAGATATTTGTGGGAAAGTCTCTTGCGCCACCTTAAGCACCATCCAGTGATTCGTTTGAGCTTTTCAAATGAGGAATACCGACGTAGAAAGAGATTGCTGGCGGGTTCAGTGACATGAAGACAAGCAATTTTTCGAAGTTCAGGTAATTCTGAGGGCTTTTTTATGAGGAGATGAGGCCAATGCTCTTTAGGATCATGGAGCCAGCTGGGTCCATGCAGCCACAGATGATTCTTCAAGAAGTCAGAGGCAAGTTCACCCCTGGATACTGCATCTGCGGGATTGTCGTGTGTGCGTACATGTCTCCACTCTATGTTCTTGGTGAGATCTTGGATTCGAGATACTCTGTTAGCCACGAATCGTTGAAGGAGGTGACGAGATGTTCTAATCCAGTGGAGAGCGACAGTAGAGTCTGACCAAAAAACTTCTCGTTGTGGTGTGAGGTCTGTTGCTTTCTTCACTGTGTCATACAGGTTAGAGAGGAGTTCCATTGCACAGAGTTCCAAGCGAGGGATGGTGTGATTGCCTTTGAGAGGAGTGATTCGAGATTTAGCACAGTAGAGGTTGATCTGGATTTTTCCGTTATCATCGATTGACTTGAGATAAATGCAGGCTCCATACGCACTCTGGCTGGCATCACAGAAACCGTGCACTTCAAAATGCTTGAGATTCGATGTAACTTGTCGTTTGAACTGCATTTTGTTGAGGAGAGGAAGTTGTGATGCAAATTCATTCCATTTAGTATGAATTTCTGTCAGTGTAGAGTCATCCCAATTTAATTTGAGTCTCCAGAGTTCTTGTTGTATGATCTTGGCGTGTGTCACCACTGGATTCAGTAATCCAAGTGGATCGAAGATTCGTGCAACGTCTGATGCAATGGTCCTCATGGTGATGACATCCCTGGTGGCGATGGGGTTGACAGTATACACAATACTATCATTCTGCGAATCCTAATGGATTCCTAGGGTTTTGAGGGTAGGATCATCCCCACCGAGTAATTGAAGATTGACGGTTGACTCTGGTAGACCTTGGAGAATGTCTGGGGAGTTGGAGGCACACTGTCGTAGGTTGAAGCCGCCTTCTTTGAGCAGGTTCATGATGTCATCTCTGAGGTGCAGGGCTTCTTCAAGTGTAGCTGCCCCAGTGAGAAGATCATCGATATAGAGGTCTCGTTTTAGTCGTTCAGCTGCTACTGGGTACCTTTCGTGTTCATCATCAGCCAACTGGTGTATGCATCTGACTGCTAAGAATGGAGCAGAGGAGAGTCCAAACGTCACTGTCTGCAACTCGTATGTGTTGATCTTATCTTTCTCTCGCCAGAGAATACATTGATATTTCGTGTCTTCGGGTCTCACAAGAACCTGGCGATACATCTTCTCGATGTCACCAGTGAGTATGTAATTGTGGAGCCTGAATCGTAGCACTAGAGATAGAATATCGTCCTGAATAGTTGGACCAACCATCAGGGCGTCATTGAGAGATACACCAGTACTGGAGCGAGCTGATCCGTCGAAGACAACTCTAGTCTTGGTGGTGAGGCTGGTCTCCTTGATGACGGCATGGTGGGGAAGGTAGAAGCCATCTTCTACCTCTGTGTCAACCTTCTTCATGTGGCCAAGGTCAATGTACTCGTTGATGACCTTGGTATACTCTTCTGCTAGCTTGGGGTTCCATTGGAATTTTCGTTCTAGTGAGAGAAGGCGACGTTTCGCCTGGAGGAATGAGGTGCCGAGTTGAGCCTTTTTCTCGTTGAAGGGAAGTGCCACTACATACCGACCTTCGGAATTGCGTGACACGTGCTGCTTGAAATGAAGCTGGCAGGCTGCTTCTTCTTCTGATTGTGGGCTCTCCCTGAACCCAATGTCCTCGATTTCCCAAAATCTTTTGAACTCATCAATTATTTTGGTGAAATGACATTTTGCTTGATCGTGGTCGGACTCGTTACTCATACTGCCACAGACAATCCAGCCGAATAGCGTTTTCTGAAGATGAACGTCGGCAGCGTTGGGGAGCTTGATTTGTCCTATGCTGAGAACAGAGATGGAGGTACTGGATCCCAACAAAACCTGGATTGGAGCAGGCTTGTGGAAGTTCAGATCTGCGAGGGGCAAATTCTTGGGAATCTTCAGTGAATCTCTATCAATTTGCTCACTGGGTATGAGAGATGAGATTCTTGGGACTATTAAGAAACTCAATTCTTTTTTGAACTTGTTCAAACGAGAGGTGATTGTGGTGTTGATTCTGTGGCGTACGATTGTTGAGAGTTGATCCAGAGCTCCGATGGGGATAGAGCAAGTTACCTTGGTGATGCCAAGCTCAGCAGCCAATTCCTGAGTAATGAAGTTTCTTGTGGATCCAGTATCGATGAGGGCACGACATGGTACTGGTTGACGATTCTTGTTGAGAAGATTGATGATTGCTGTGGGCAGGATGTCTTGTCCTACTGAGTCCAGCGGCAGTGAGATGGCTGATGCGGTTGGGCTGCTTGGAGTATTTAGTCATGCACTGGTGGTGCCTGGTGCTGTTGAAGATTCCTTGATGTAGTGGAGTAGTGAGTGCTTATACTATAGCTATAGCTATACCAGCTATACATTTCATGCATTTCCGAAAGACGCATGTTTACCATTGAACAGATACTTCGCTACTGACCGGCATCGTAAATCGTCTGTTATTCCTTCGCAAATTGCGGTGGCCCGGCAACATGTATCGAATTCGAACCCACGAAATAGCTTTAAAGGATGTAAACATCCAGTTATTTTTAGTCTCATATAGTTTTCCAACATTTCTATCAGCTATAGAACCTGCATTCTGCTCGTTAAAATAGTTATTAGTATATGAAATTTATCCAAAAATTTCTGGTGGAGTCTTTCTACATATTTACCATGAATTTTCTCAAAATTAATGACTAAAAACTCAACTTGTCCCATATATGCACACAGATATGACCTTAAAAGCGTTATTTCCTTACGTTTCATAACATTCTAGACCCATTATAATAAATATTGGAAGATCGAAAAATCGGTCAAATAAAAGGCTTTCATTACGAATAAAAAAAAAAACTAATAAAACATAAAGTGATGGTCAAATATCTTCGTCGTCGGATAGACTTGGTACAGTGGACTCTGGTTAGAGTCGACTGTTTTGCGGGATAGGGGAATCGAATTCGGAGAATTCGACTCTATTTCCCTGCCCCCACTATGCTGTTGTATACCCACATTATTTCCTGATTTCCCACTTACGAAATACCCCCCATTTCCTAAATATCCTCAAAGTCCTCTACAGCCTCAAATCCAGTCCCCATCCTAACCAAATAAGTCCGCACTTCCCTCATAACGCAAATGAAGCAATTAGGCTCCGACTGTCGCCAGTGCCCCAGACGGACCCTAATATTTGTCCCAGATATTTGGCGCCTCCAAAAACCCCCACTCCTCAATTTTCCTCAGATCTGCCCTTTTTCCAAGACTCATGTCTTACAAAATAACTCTCCCTCAATTCAGTTCAAAATCACCCTCCGAACTTACAACACCTCTTAACTTAGGAGTCTTACTTTAATAAATCATGAACACAATTATCTCGCTTCTCCGGCTCTCCTTATTATTAAATCGTTATTTCATAGAAATACGACATAAATCTGGCGACGAGGATGGGATGTCCAGCACTCTGAAACAGTGAATTAAAGTGGAACTGACAATTCTACTCTGTGAACCGAGTGGCAGCTATCAAGTTGTTGAGAACGTGGACACCGTAGGAGACAAAACTGGAGGACCATCGCGAGCCAAGGAAAATTCTGCAGTTTGGTTGAACACACTGAAATTAGCAACTCCAGCACCGATTGCAACGAATCACTTCCGCAGTAAGTGCTGTTCATATGAATATTCGTACATTCAGACAATTCCTTGTTTCTCATAACTTCCCAATACTCCTATAAATTTCATTTCAATTCAAAAATATAGAGATCAAATTTCAAAGCTAAACGATGCCTGACAGTACACAGACCACTCAAAATACGTGCAACTCGTCCCTTTTTTACGAACTCTCATTTTTAATTAAATTAATTCCCAAAACTTTCGACGGAGATCGATATAAAATTCGCAGTTTTATCAAACAAGTCGATGGAGTCTTTGAACTCGCGTCTGATCAACAAAAGCCAGCACTTTTACTTTATGTAAAAAGTCGTATCACTGGCAAAGCTCGTGAACAGATCGACATTCATTGTAACCTCACGACTTGGGAAGAAATTTCTGAACTTCTTTTAAGTCTTTATCAAGATAAAAAAACTCTTGATCAATTATTTGAAGAATTAAATTCCATGCATCAAAAGAAAAATGAAAATGTCTCACAATTTTATCAAAAAATTGAAGATCTCATCACGTATTCTCGCAGCAGTTCACACGAGTGAATAAGATGAAAATCTCTTACCGGGCCCTATCGCAATGGTTACTAAAATGACTCTAAATCGCTTTATTTATTACACACACCCACAAATTTCGCAAATGCTCCGCTATCGCGAATTTGCAACAATTAATCAAGCCTTTACTGCCGCAGTAACCGAAGAAAAAGCCCTTCGAATGCAATACAATCCACATTCTAAATGCACACATTGTGGTAGATTAAATCACACGAGTGATGATTGTCACTTTAAAAATCCAAATTCAAATTTTTCCTCGTCACGCGAGCCTAAACCAATCAATTTTTCTCAACAAAATTCTTATCGAAATTCTTTTAAAAGTCAAAATCAGTCACAAAACCCAAATCGACCTAACAATCAACGATTTAATCAAAATTTGAATCGTTCAAATTCTCAAAAAACGTGCAATTATTGTAAAAAGAGTGGCCATGTTATTGAAGAATGCATAAAAAGATTTGCTGCAAATGTCAGGAAAAACAAAGGCACCGCATCTCAAAATCCACAATAATCAAGCATACACGTTAGCAACCCAATGAAAAATGAAAATTTTCAGATGGCCAGCCTTAATTCTCATCCACCAGAATTATCTAAGCCACAAAATGAGGTTCCGACTACTTTTGCAAATCTAAATTCATTCGCGTTCCACATCCCCTCGAATAACAGCGAATTAAAATACATTCTCTTTGAATCCCCTCACTCAGATGATCCTGATAAAATTCTCAAATTTTTGGTCGACACTGGAGCGGCCGTCTCTCTCGTAAAAGCCTCGAGTATTCGTAATTTCGAAATCGTTAATCGTGAGCCAATTATTCTCAATGGCATTAAGCCCAACGCGCCGATCATGACTCTCGGACAGACCGAACTCGATTTGTCGGTAAATTCTAACTCTTTTCTTAACAAATTTCATCTACTTAACTCAGATACGGGAATTCCATTTGATGGTCTCGTGGGACAGGACTTTTTTCAAAACCAAAATTGCAAAATCGATTACCAAAATTCGACTCTCTCAATCGATGCGGTACCGTTTCCCTTACCATTACAAAGTAACGCCATTCTATTCCACAATGCATCACGATTAATTATCCAAGCTCGCTCGGAAATAATCGCAAAAGTATCACTCATCAATCCTCTCGACCTTGACGAAGGTATAATCGCACGTCAATTCCTCGACAAAGAAGAAAAATTATTAATTCCCACAGCTCTCGTAAAAGCGATAAATAAAGAATAATCGCTTATTACAATTGTAAATCGATCCGCAGAAGAGAAAATTCTCCCGAAACCGCATTTACCGCTTTTATCTTCTCCTCAACAAATGAAAGTTTTTCATATGAATGAAGATAATTCAGAAAATTTCGAGAAAAGACGTGAACTATTACACAAAAACATCCGCACTGAACATCTTAATCTCGAAGAACAACAATCCTTAACTAAACTGTGCGAAGAATTTCACGATATTTTTAATCTCCCAGACGACGAATTATCTTGTACATCTGCGACCGTTTGTAAAATTCCCACGACCGACAATATTCCAATTCAAGTAAAATCTTATCGGTACCCTGAAGTTCACAAAAAGGAAGTATCTAATCAAATAGAAAAAATGATCAAACAAAGAATCATAAAACCCTCTGTAAGCCCATGGTCGAGCCCCCTCTTGGTCGTCCCTAAGAAAATGGACGCCTCAGGTCAACAAAAGTGGCGTATTGTTATCGACTATAGGAAACTCAATGAAAAAACAATAGGAGATGCGTACCCTCTTCCGAATATCGAAGACATATTAGATCAATTAGGCCATTCTCATTATTTCACAACACTTGATTTGGCAAGTGGCTTTCATCAAATCCCGATGCATCCCGATGATGCCCAGAAAACCGCGTTTTCTACCCCATCAGGCCACTATGAGTATACGCGTATGCCCTTCGGGTTGAAGAACGCTCCTGCTGTTTTTCAAAGATTAATGAACAATGTTCTCACTGGCCTTACTAGCAATCAATGCTTCGTGTATCTAGATGACGTTGTTATTTATGCATCTAGTCTTACTGAACATGAAACAAAATTACGCAACGTGTTCAATCGATTACGCGAAAATAATCTCAAACTTCAACCTGACAAGTGCGAGTTTTTGCGTGAATCTTGTCACTATCTCGGACATATTATCTCCAAAGATGGAGTTAGGCCAAATCCCAAGAAAGTCGAGTGCATTCAAAAGGTAAGACCTCCTACGAATCCTAAAGAAATTAAAATCTTCCTCGGAATGGCTGGTTATTATAGAAAAATTATCCCAAATTTTTCCACTATCGCAAAACCATTGATACTATTATTGAAAAACGATGTACCATTCGTTTGGACAGAGAAACAATAAGAAGCATTCGACAAATTAAAATCGATTTTAACTAGCGAAGCGCTACTCCAATATCCAGACTTTTCAAAGCGTTTTGCTGTAACTTGTGACGCATCAAACTTTGGTATCGGTGGCGTCCTATCACAAATTATTGATGATAAAGATCTACGTATTGCGTATTATTCACGAACATTAAATTCTGCTGAACAGAATTATTCTATGACAGAAAAAGAATTACTAGCAATTATTCAAACGGTTGAATATTTCCGCCCCTATCTCTACGGACGAGAATTTACGATTTACACAGATCACAGGCCTCTTCAATGGCTATTTAATTGCAAAAATCCTTCTTCAAAATTCATGCGTTGGCGTTTGCGTATATCCGAGTACAAGTATATTATCAAAGACAAGCCGGGTAGAGTCAATTCTAATGCTGACGGCTTATCGCGCTTAATTTGCGATTCAAATCAAGAAAATGAGGCAGTATTTCTGATCAAAAGATCTGAGAAAACGTATCAAGATTTTACAAAATTTCATTATATGAATCAAGATGTGATCGATTACTCAAAAGAAGAAACTCCCCTCTCTAAATTGAAAGGCAGTATCGTATTTCTGTGGTCTGAAGATTTAGACAAAGAAAATCAATATTCAGAGTATATCACTGAGAATTTCGACACGAGTACTCTAAAATCAAGCCCTAATGGATTCGAGAAATTAACGAACGATCATCAGAAATGATTTATTTTGTTTCCCAAGAGCAAACATCATGATAAAATCGATTATTGAAATTTATTCCAAAGTTTTATGCAATTCAAAGCTGAAATCAAATCAAAAGATTTTACTCTAGTACCTCCAAAAATCAAAAACGGAGTTAAGCCTGAGATTTTCAATGAAATGGTTAAATTCATTTTTCCATCTAATAAAATTAAATTCCTCAATATGAAGAAAATTACTCCTCAGAATCAAGATGAAATTAAAATCATTCTCAAAGAATCTCATGACAGTAAATTATCTGGACACAGTGGTTTCAATCGAACGTATTCAAAAGTAAAAGAAAGTGTTGCGTGTCATACACGCGAAACTACAATTTCGGTATTAATTATTTTCCATTCATTTTTAAATTTCCCAAATGTTATTTCGAAGGAAATAATTGACACAAAGACACGTATTTCCCCGGCGTCTAGACTCATAGCAATCGAAATATATTCAATTATTATTCTTAATCCTCAGTGCAGCTGCTCTTCAAATTATTTTATTACTGTTTTCTCAAGTCCAGAACTAATTCTCGTGAAACTCGACTGGGAAAGACTCTTCGTCTAGACAATTTTAATAATGCTTTCGTTCAATACTCTATTTATTCAAACAAACTTCACATTTTAGGTTTTATGAGTTTAGTCACAATAGTCTTTGAAAATATGTTCAATAATCCTCTCGTACCACTCGACCCCTCCTATTCATCATCTCTCACAGCGGGTTCCAAGTACCTCATCGGACCCACATAGTCATAACCCGCCCCTCTGCCTACCTCTCTCTCAACTCAAGGAAGGCCCCAATTTTCCCCCAATGCAAACTAAACCACACCTCCTACCTCATTTCCACCAATCGCAAATATTGTTAACTTACTCTGATTCGCTCGGCATTACCACCACCGTTTAGCATATAAGCCTCGTACTCGAAAATTATTAGTTAGTTAAAATTCAAATCTCTGACTAGTCACATCTAGCAGAAATCACTGTACAAAAATATATCTTATTCTCGAATAAACGGAAAATTGTAAAAACTGAAGTTGTATACATCCGATTTATCCAAGTCTCCCAGTATATACCCATCACATCCTCACTCACTCCAATCATTCGAAAAATTCCCCTTTTTAATCAGCTGCATAAAGAACCTATTCGGCGTGCAGCAGTTAGCCTGATATTGTGTCTGTAGGTTCAGACCTCTGGAATTTACAACTCCAGAGAATTAAAATAATTTCACTATTCAGTGCCTAACAGAAAGGTATTATTGGCCAACAATGAAAAGCGATATTAGAAGTTATATAAAAAAAAGTCACTCTTGTCAATTGAATAAAACAAATTTCAAACCCACCAAGCAACCAATGGAGATCACAACCACTTCTGAAAAACCTTTTCAAAGATTAGCGATCAACATAGTAGGACCACTACCCTTGACAGAACAAGGCAATCGTTTGATTATTACTGCTCAAGACGATCTCACGAAATACTCGTTTGCATTTCCGGTCCCCAATCATGAAGCTCAGACTGTTGTCGATAGACTCCTCACTATTTTTGTATATTTTGGAATCCCTCAAACCATTCTCACCGATCAAGGCACAGATTTTATGTCAAACCTCATGAAAGAGATGACTAATCTTTTCAAAACAAAACATATCTCATCAACTCCATATCACCCGCAAACTAACGGTGCATTAGAAAGATCCCATCTTACTCTTAAAGATTATTTGAAACATTACATTAATAAAAAACAAACTGATTGGGATACCTATGTTTTATTTGCAATGTTCAGTTATAACACTGCAATTCACAAGTCGACTCATTTCACTCCTTACGAACTTCTCTTTGGTCACAAGGCTTATTTACCATCATCTATTACACAAAACCCCGAATTCCATTACACCTATGATGATTATATTCGGTCATTACAATTTACACTAAATTCTTCATTTCAATTGGCACGAGATAATTTGATCGAATTGAAAATGCGAAGTAAGGGATATCATGATAAGAAAATTAATCCCATTGAATTCAAAATCGGCGACTTAGTTACAATTGAAAATAAAGGCACGACCCCTATCTGGTCTTTCGAAGAAATTAAGTTCCAATGCGAAAGGACCATATAAAATTATTAAGCTATTCGCTAATCAAACTGCGGAATTGCAAATTGGTAAGAAGTTAGTGAAATATCACACTAATTTATTAAAACCATATTTTTCAGATGAACCACACAATCCTGATCCTATTCCTACTTCCTCTCCTAATTAATTGCAAGATCTTTTATTCCCATCATCCATTTGAAAATACAAGTGGTATCTTTTATAACAAAAAGGGAATAGTACAAGTCACTAACTCCAAATTAACTCTTCTAACCTATCTCAATAAAACTCATCTCAGAAGTACGCTCGATGTCATTGATAAATATTTTGCTAAAACCGATGAAATCTGTAGACAAACGACAACAGAAATAACTAAAAAGGGTCACATCAGTTTTCATTGTGACCGCTCAATTGATCTCATTAAATCGGAAGGAACAGATATTAAAACAAAGAATGATATTCTTCGACAAATGACTGAGAGATTGATTATAAGAAAAAAGAAACGTGGTCTCATCAATGGTTTGTCTTATCTGTTCAAATGGGGTTTCGGCATGCCTAGCGCAGACGATGCCCAATATTATGAAGATTCTATAAAAATGTTGACAAATAATAATAAACAAACACAGACATTGCTGAAATCACAGGTTCAAATAATTACAAACGCAATCAGAAATTTCAATAGCTCTTTGTTTTCACTCCAGAGTCAAGAGAGAGCAATGAATCAAAATATCGAAAAAATTAATTCATTCACGATCCAGACAAATTCTTACATATCTCGTTTAGAAGTGGAAACAACACTTAATCAACAAATCACAATACTCCATATGCTTGTTACTCAAGCAAACCGCGAATTTTCCAAATATATCGAAGCAATTAACTTAGCCAATCATAATATCGTTTCTCCCTTTCTCTTAACCCCACAAATGTTACATGATGAGTTGAAAACATAAAAACATCCACGAACTAGTAATGCAACCAAATATGGAAAATATTCATCACTTTTTTAAGCTTTTACACTTACAAATTATGTCCACAAAAGAAAATATCATTTTTGCATTACAAATTCCACTTGCAGATAAAATGAAATTTGAACTCTATGAAATCATTCCAATTCCCATACAACAGAATGATTCACAATTCTTCTCCTATATTATCCCTTAAAGCAATTACCTCCTATTATCACAGCCTCGATCCCAATATACTTTCCTTAATGGATTGTCTGATTGTCATGAGTACCAAGATGAGCAGTACATCTGTTACCACCTGCACACGATGACTTCAACGAGCAACCCAACGTGTGAAATCGAACTGCTATCTCCACACACGAGAAAAATTCCTGCATCATGTATAACAAAAACCATTAAGGCAACCATCGAAACCTGGCATCATATCGCGAAGAATCAATGGATCTATATCCTCCAGAAGCCAACGACACTCACGATTATGTGCGGACAAAATGAAAACCACCTGAAAGATGTAATTCTCCAAAAGAGCGGATTAATTCAATTGGAACCTAAATGCCGAGGTTACACAGATCAGTTCATCATTGAGTCAACACGAGACTCCAAAAAGAACGCTACGTATTATATTCCTCAGATGAACATAATAACCGACGATTGCTGTATCCTGCAGACTCACTTTAATACTATTGAGTCAATCACATTAAAACCAATTCATCTGACCAATATTGATCTCAAGGACCTCCAGATAGCTGATAAAAAGCTCAACGAGCTTGACGAAATCATCACCAAGCAAATCAACGAACCATTTATTGTTACCCATACTAGATGGTACAATGTCGCCCTTGGGATCATCGCAGCATTTATCATCCTTTTCATCACCCTTCGATGTTGTAGATGTTTTGGACGATTTAATTTCTTTCATCGTCTTTGCTGCCCCACTACGAATCCGAGGAATGGTGCAACGACTCCTCCACTGATCAGTAACTTTGTCAACTGTATTTTTGATTCATCAGAACCATCTTCTGGATCAGTCAACGAAATCGTGACCTATCAACCAAGACAGAATTTACCTGCCATCACTCACAGAGCACCTGAAATTTCGGATGACGACGAAGTCCCGCCAGCTGTTCGCTTCCCGACTCGCCAACGATCTCGTAGAAGCACGACACCAATTTAATTCACTCCCTTCAATTTTTTTTTTATTGTATTGGATTCACATCTGATTTTTGAATTAGAATTTTCTCAGTTAATTTATCTATCAATTACAATTTATAACTTTTATTTCATTAATGATATTGTTTAAATTCAATGCTATTATTGTAATTCAATTTCTTTCATTCATACAATTTTATGATTTTGCAATTCGATGTATTTATTGTAATTCATTGCAATTCGATGTATCATTTGTTAACTCTCCGTTAACAAACTTGAGGGGGAAGGTGTTGTATACCCACATTATTTCCTGATTTCCCACTTACGAAATACCCCCCATTTCCTAAATATCCTCAAAATCCTGTACAGCCTCAAATCCAGTCCCCATCCTAACCAAATAAGTCCGCACTTCCCTCATAACGCAAATGAAGCAATTAGGCTCCGACTGTCGCCAATGCCCCAGACGGACCCTAATATTTGTCCCAGATATTTGGCGCCTCCAAAAACCACCACTCCTCAATATTCCTCAGATCTGCCCTTTTTCCAAGACTCATGTCCTACAAAATAACTCTCCTTCAATTCAGTTCAAAATCACCCTCGGAACTTACAACACCTCTTAACTTAGGAGTCTTACTTTAATAAATCGTGAACACAATTATCTCGCTTCTCCGGCTCTCCTTATTATTAAATCGTTATTTCATCGAAATACGACAACGCGCTCACGCCGAGCCCGACTTCCAAGAACTGGGAACGATAAAATGAAAAATACTATTTCTTTTCTCTCTCAATTCAACACTTTATTTTAATGATAAACTTTAGTTCACAGTTTCAACTATAATAGCAATATTCATATAGATTCAGACGATTTTTTTATCATCAATATTTTTAATTTCATTGACTATATTTAATCACAGAAGCTTTGTACCTAACATTCCATAGAACAGATATTTCTTCTGGAGTTAACGAACCATGTGAATCAAAAATGTTACAGTCGTTTTCTTTACCTCCCTTCATTATTTGATTTAATCCAATTTCGAATTAATTTTATGCCAACAAAACGAGATCCTCCCCCCATGACAGCCAGAAGTGGACTAAATTTTTTGATCGACAATTAAAATGCAGAATATTTTATTTTTAGTCTTTACTGGAATCGGAAGACAATAGCAATTTGAAGAAAATATTGGAGTGTTTAGTCTCCGGCTTGCGTGGGGACAGAGTGGGGGAAGCGCTCGAGCGGCGAGACAAAAAAATTGAGGGGAAGTTCGACACTAACCAATATGCCTCTAACCAAAGTCCACTGTACCCTGTTTTTTATTGCTTAAATTATGAAAAAAAAATTTTTTTTCGTCTTCTTTTCGCAGAATTTATTTCATTTTTCTGTCAGCAATATTTTCTCACAACTCCACTTAATTACCACGGAATCCTCCGGGGTATCAACCACACCTAGACAATCTCGTTTTCTTCGTCTACACCTCAAAAAGATGATGGCAAGAGAAGTGAATCCCCAGTGACAGTAGTGGATATTCGTTTCACTCGGGGGTGAGTACACCCAGGTGCTTTTGTGCCCATCGTGACCGTCCATACATAATTTTCATAGCTCTCGGTGGAATTGACTGCATTCAAAAGTTCAACTGGTGATTCACATTTTCTGCGAATCCAGCTATAGTTTAGAGTACTCCCGAGGTATCATGTATATTTCATAGAGAATTGTCGATGTATTTAAATGGATTCTAGGGAGCCATCTCAATTTGCTATTATAGGGTTTCGTTATTTTTTCCGAATGAGGAGAGATCGGAAATTGATTCAGTGAAGTCTGACAAAACAATGAAGGGAGAACAAATCGCCGAGAGTATTTTCTGAATCAGTAATGAAGGGGTTCATGAGATAATTTCAGTTGACCTTTTTGTTAGTTTTCAAGAATTTTTGTGTTGAGTAATAATAAGCTGTGAAATTTATGTAAGATTTTACTACTTTCAGAAAAATAACGTAACTTTTCCGATGGCAGACGGCAGAAGTTACGGAATGTTTTAAATTTATTCTCTTCGTTACCGACAAAAACTAACTGAAAACGATTCTCGCTTACGGATTACGTGAATAGTTCCCTCATTTTTATTCAATATTTCCTTCCGCATACAAAGTGCATTTAAAATGTGCAAATACCAGTCAATTGTTGACATACGTTTAATCATTCACATATTTTGCTATGTAGAATTCAGTTCATTGAATTCACAAAAAAAAATTTCCATCAGTGGTTAAAAAACATTTTTCTAAATTGTCCATGAGATTTTTGAATTAATCTTTCAACGGCGGGAGTCCATCAAGAGCCCACTCATGAGATTTAACGAGCAGACGGCATGTAATTCAGTGAAGTCTGACAAAACAATGAAGGGTGAACAAATCGCCCAGACTATTTTCTGAATATATCAGTAATGAAGGGGTTCATGAAATAATTTCAATTTACCTTTTTTTGTAGTTTTCAAGAATTTTTGTATTCTGAGTAATAATAAGCCGTGAAATTTGTGTCAGATTTTACTACTTTCAGAAAAATTACGTAACTTTTCCGATGGCAGACGGCAGAAGTTACTGAATGTTTTTGATTTATTCGCTTCGTTTCCGACAAAAACTAACTGAAAACGATTCTCGCTTACGGATTACGTGAATAGTTCCGTCATTTTTATTCAATACTTCCTTCCGCATACAAAGTGCATTTAAAAAGTGCAAATACCAGTCAGTTGTTGACATACGTTTAATCATTCACATATTTTGCTATATAGAATTCAGTTCATTGAATTCACAAAAAAAAATTTCCATCAGTGGTAAAAAAACATTTTTCTAAATTGTCCATGGGATTTTTGAATTAATCTTTAAACGGCGTGAATCCATCAACAGCCCACTTATGAGATTTAACGAGATGACATGTAATTCAGTGAAGTCTGACAAAACAATGAAAGGTCAACAACTCCCCCAGACTATGTTCTGAATATGTCAGTAATGAAGGGGTTCATGAAATAATTTCAATTTACCTTTTTTTGTCCCCCTCTACTGGGTTCCCACTTTGTCGTAGTGAGGGGGCTCGATCGCGGGTGGTGGAAGTCTTAAGGCCTACCGCTGCCCCCGGTCGCTAAGAGGAGCCCACCCAATCCATGTGTGTGAGCGGCGTAAGCGCAATCGCCCCCGAGGTTTGATGCAGCTTCGCTCTCTTGCGACGTCTTCTCTCGGCTCCACTCAGTCTGACCCGATTCACATCGGTACCAGACTGGTCAGCCTTGTCAGACTTCGTGTGTTCGCCATCACTGGCCCCACCCGAAGTTGCTTTTTCAATATTAAGATTTTTTAGATTGGTTTCCATTTTAGTCCCACGAGTACCGCGGTTAAGCGTTTTCACCTGGTGCATTGCCGCGATTGCCCAGGGCTTGGCTTGTCTCGGGTGGGTTCCACCCAAGACTCTTCTCAGAGGTCGCCCAGGTTTCTGAGAGGCACCGTTAGTGACACAGCTCCCCCTGTGCCACGGATCCTTAGGCACGGTATGGCCGAGGCCATG